AGATTTAATATTATTAATAAACTTTTTAATTTATTTTAAAAAATGTGATGTATCAGAAGTGATGATACGGCCTATATCTATATAGCTATAAGATATTTACGCTCTAAATAACTGCGTAAAAGAAGACATTTTAATAAAGACACAAACTATTCCACTTATTTCATATAAAAAAAAAATTCATAACGGATCTTTAGAATTGGACATACAAACTTTTATATGTCCAATTGTCCAATCTCGCAATTTTATATGTCCAAATTTGTTCATTGGCCAATTATTTTTCCCGAATCAAGTTTAATACACGCAAGATCACACTTAAAAACTGAAAAGCTAAGACCAACCAATGATTCAGCCGTTCCATTATATGCTGTTTTAAAGGGACCGGCTTTAGGTTTTTCAATTTCAATTTCCCATTCTTTGAATGATATATATGTATTTCCAATTACTATACTGTATAGGGAGGAATTTGTTGAATCAAAACCCTTATCAAACTCTCCGAAAATTTCGTATTCATCTCCTGATATTTGTTCGAATGTAACTTCACCTTTAATTTTTTTTAATGAAACATGAACTTGGGTAAATGCTTGCGAACACGCAAAAAGGGCTATGAAAAGAGTAATAAAAATAATAACAACTTTAGATTTCATCATTTTTAATAATTTTTGGATTTTTTATTTTTTATTCTTTTATATAAGTTAATTGCGAATATTTTTGTTATAAACAAAAAACCCATGCTTTTTATATTTAAGTTTATCTTCTGATCCTTTTCTCAAAGTTATATTTTTTGTCGCGGATGATTGTGAAATCTAAAAAACCTATTGGCTAACATTTGCAGATCACCCTAACCCTAACCAATCAGATGCATTAATTTCATAATCACTTTTTCTATGAAAATGATTCGACAAAAAGATCCTCACTATCAGGAATTTACTACGAAAATATTTTGGTAAACCGTAAATAATTTCGGCAATATATTCTTTAATTCTTATTAACTCGGTTCAGCCCGACGAGACAAAAAAAGTATATCTAAATCTATTTTTGGTGCACTAATAAAAATGTTGGGAAGGCAAATTAACTTTATAATCCCCTGTCTTACTATTTGTTATTCATGACCACCTTCATTCTAATTTCCCATGTGACCGGGAATCTTCCTGAGTGATTACCGATTATGTGAAAATTAGAATGTTTAGGTTTAGGTGGTCATGAATAACGTAAGGCAGGTGAATATTCATTTATTTCCTGTGAGGAATTTCAGAGAGGATTCCACGATGATCATATGATATGATCATCGGGAATCTCCGCTGTAATTTTTAAGCTCCCAGGAAATAAATAATACATATGACCGCACATGGCAATCTACCAATCTACCACGCAGATCTACTCTTAACTGTTACAGCTGTTTTCATAAATTCTGGGACATCTGGCAAAAAATGGTCCGAACAAATATTGCCGGTTCGATAAGTT